CTCTAAAAAAGCGTGCGAACGTGCCGGAGACGAGAGGAAAATGAGCGGCTCCGGCCTACGGTATTTGCTTGCTCGCTGACCGGAGTGCAATTTAGAGCCGTGAATGATGGCGTCACGTTCTCATTAGGACGTTTGGGCGTTTTCTCTCTCTCTCTCTCTCTCTCTCTCTCTCTCTCTCTCCCTCACTCTCTCTCTCTCGCTCTCTCTTTGTCTCTCTCTCCCCCCTCGATTCCCATTGGGAATCTCAGGAAGATGGCGACGAACACCAATCTGCGTTGCTAGAGATTTATAGGACGCTGGAAAGTACATAAAAAGCTAGAGTGACGGGAGAATCCTAAATACACCAGCGAAAAGGTTAAAAAAAGAAAAACTCAAATTTTTAAACGTTTCACCGTAACGCTTGGTAAGAGAATATACTGAAAAAGCAAGAACCTGAAAAATGGCGTTCGGTGCGAAATTGAAACCAACTAAAAAGCTCCATTAAAACATGCGAGGTCGACACGGTTTTACCTCGGAAATTGCCTAACTGTAACCGTTTTTTGTTGACCGTGGGATTTCGATACGTGAGTTAGCACATTTTGTGCAGCATTTTTCGCTGATTCCGAATCCGTTTTCAAAAGTTGCGGAACCCCTCTAGATAAAAAGTTACAGCCGGTTTTCCACCCCAAATGACCGAAAATTACAAACTTTAAATCCTTATAAAAAACTCATGGAACATTTTGTGGGATAAAATACAGCACTCCTAGGGGTAAAAAAACGTGCTCTTTCGAATGGGCTATCTCACGAACCCGTAACTCAAAATTCACAAAATTTCAATTGGCCATCCAGGGCATTGGTCCACCGAAAACCTTTTTTTCATGAATTTTGAGCTACGGTTTCGTGAGATAGCCCATTCGAAAGAGCACGTTTTTTTACCCCTAGGAGTGCTGTATTTTATCCCACAAAATGTTCCATGAGTTTTTTATAAGGATTTAAAGTTTGTAATTTTCGGTCATTTGGGGTGGAAAACCGGCTGTAACTTTTTATCTAGAGGGGTTCCGCAACTTTTGAAAACGGATTCGGAATCAGCGAAAAATGCTGCACAAAATGTGCTATCTCACGTATCGAAATCCCACGGTCAACAAAAAACGGTTACAGTAAGCCAGAGCCTTGAGGCCAAGATTCAAGGTGATGTTTAGGCGTCGGCCGTACTTGTTGAGTAGGATCGATCTAGGCTACTAAGACGCTCAAGCCTAAGTATAGGCCCATCCTTAAAGAGATGAGGACGGCATCTGTTGAACCCCCCCTTGGGGAGGGGGGGTTCAACAGGTCCCGCGGCGATCTCGCGCGAGAGAGGGCTCCCCGGGGAGAGGCGCAGAGACATTTTCTTCCCCTCGCGTAATCGATTGACTTATGCCGCCCCTATCTCTTTAAGCCCAGGCCCAAGTCGAAGCCTGGACGTAAGCCAAATTCGAAGCTAAAGACCCGGCCAAGTCAGGCTAAGCCAAAGCCGAACGCACGTGGGTAATGCAAAAAACTTCAGAACAGTTGGTTTCTCCCCGACATTTTCGAGGCGTTCAACAGTTCACCGCTAGCATTTAGCTCATTTGGCATTCGGCGCAATGTACGAAACTTTGCTCTTACCACCGTAATCCAATCGCGGCGGGACGTTCCACATATCGGCCTAGGCTTGAGGCAAGTTCCAGTCGCGCGTAAATACCTAATAGATTCCAAGGTGCATTTTCGACATTCGTCAATACGACAAGTGCGTAGTTTTTCTTCTAAAAATACAAAAAATCCGCCGTGTTTTTCCGTCTTTTCCGTCATGACATTTGTCGTCGATAATTTCCAGGTTGTCCGGCGGGGCTGGTTTATAAAAGACGTAACCGGGTGGTGGCAATGGGCCCTATTTCCTGGCCAGGCTCAACGTGGCTTTCCCACACTTGTTGTCGGCTGCCAAGCCAGACTTTGAAAATTTTCTAGGTGTTTTTTAGGCAATTGAAGGGGATTCTTTAGGTAGCTTGGAACCGCGAAAATCGAGCTCTATTTTGGAGTAGCTCTCGACGACTCAAGTGAAGTAGCTACGTTTGGGCTAGCTTTAGGCTTGGACATAGGCTCGGCTGAGCTTTTGGTTTAATTGGCTTGGGCGAAGGAGTGAGTTTGGGTTTTAGGCTAAGGCTTTGCTTTCAGCTCACGTGTAGGCTTAGGTTTTGGCTTGCTCGTCTGCTTCTGTTTAGGTTTATTCTTAGACTTGCTCCTCGGCTTGTTCTTGGATGATTCTCAAGCTTATTTTTGGCTTCGCTTCGGCTTAGTTTTGGGCTTAAGATAGGCTTCGATTTACGCCTAATCCCTGCGTTGCCTAAGCTTATGCTTTGGCTGTTTCACGCTTCAGTTTATATTTTTTTTGCTAGCTTTCTATGCCTAGCCGCCGGAAAGGGTCGAACCTCATGCATCCTGAGTTCCTTAAAAATGTTTTTTGTTCAGAACTTTAAAGCAAAAATAACCGAATTTGCAACTCATTCGAATTTTTCTTTTCAGGCATTTCCTCCCACCTTCAAATTGTTAGTTTTTGCCCGGATTTTTTGAAACACAGGCCATAATTTAGGGCGGCGAGGGCCCGGCGACTTTTTCCTGTTACCTTGGTTCGATGGGACGCTGCGAGCTGCCGCAAATTATCGGTAATTTTTGAAGCTATAATTTACAGATTTCGGGAAGTTAGAACAGTCCTTGAAAACTTGAACCCCTTATTTTTTCGACTTCCGAGTTTCAGGTCCGCCTTTTGTTTTACTAATTGATCTATTTTTTCATTTTTATTTATTTTAAAGTTAAGCCGTTTTCCGGGAGTTAAAAGGCTTAAAATTTTGACGTCCTCGATATTTCTTGATTTCCGCATGTCAGGTTCCCTGAAAATTTGTTTTTAATGAAATTGTGGGAAAAATTTGGTTGGGGGAACGGAATCAGGCAGGGGGAAAGTCCCAGGGGGACCGAATTAGGCGCCTATTTTTTAGGATGGGGAGGTGGCACGTGATTTGAGAACAAGCCGACCGGGGGATGACTCTTTTCGGATAGGATTTGGTTGGATTTTTAGCTATGGTTCTGCTAGCAGAGTTTCTTTAGGAAGTAGCAGGCTAGCAGGGATCCTTTGGGAAGGGTAGTCTAGCACAGATTCTGTAAGAATTCACAGGGGGGCTATCAGAGATACCTTAGGAAAACTTATGGTAGCACATATGCTTCAGGAAAGCAGTCTAGCAGAGATCCTTGACGAAAAGACAATATAGCATCCTTAAAAAACGGTCAAGCTAGCAAAGATTCTTTAGGATGCGGCAGTCTCGCAGGGGTTCTTTAGGATAAGACAACCTAGCAGCGTTTTGAGGAAAAGCGCAAGCTAGCAAAGATGGTTTAGGAAGCGGGGAGCCAGCAGAGGTTCTTTAGGAAAAAACAGGCTAGCAGAAGTTCTTTAGGAAAGACGGCCTATCAGCGATTCTCTGATGACAGGCATACAAGCAGAAGCTATTTGCGAAGTTCCCCCTTTTCCGCCTCAAAACCGCTTCCCCCCATCATTCCGATTCCGATTCAATTTTGTTGGTTTGCGTCAATGAGACCCGTGGGTGGCCATGACAGTATTTCCCGCCATTTTTCACCCCCAAATTTGATTGTCGTGAGAAATAGGCACCGGGTCCCGGTTAGAAAAATTCATTTGCTCCCACTCCGCGAGAACGGCGTCGGGTTTTCAAGATATTCTTTCACAAAGATATGTTTTGATGCTCCTCTGTTTTTTGGTCTGACTTTCGTTTGGTTATCAGGGATTTCAGCTAGCTGCAAAATTGCTCCCCGCGACACGCGACGCGCCGCGCCATGGCCGCCTGGCTGAAACGTGATCCTTGGCGTAATCGATAGGTCGGCGCGTGCGTGCGTTGCGTGAAAAGCATCCTGAAATCAATAGCCATTTCTTACGCGTCCCTTTAAAGACCCTAGCAAGCCAAAAAAATCGACCACTTTCGTCGACTAACTTTTGTCGTAGGATATTTTGGAAAGCGGCTAATGAGTAAAAAACCTAAAAATAACAACTGTAATTTGGTGTGTTCCGCAGTTGTCGAGACCTAGCCAAAATTGGGGGCTAGTTTCTGGCATTTATCAGTCCCTTTAAACGGGGTGCTACATGGCATTTTTTTTTGTTTTCCACACCGAGATTTCGTCTAATTTTCCCCTCGCGCGGAATAAGCGTTCCAAAAATTCCACCTGGCCCCCATCCACGTTTGCCGTTTTTACCGTAATCCGGCAGGTGCACCGCATTTTTCCAAAGGCACCCAATCAACGTTTTTTTGAAGCCCATGTCAGTAGGTGCCGGATGGACTTGCTGAACTTGTTGAGCACCACTTCCGGCTTCGCAAACGTTAACCAGCTTTTTCTGATTAATTTTTATCTACCAAATATTGCTAGAAAGCCGAACAGCAACAATCTTTCCCTCCCCTCCAAGGATCCAAAAAAATGGCCCCCGAAAACGTAGCGGATAGTTGGTTTTTGGCTGTTGCTAGGTGATCCGCCCGCTCTCTTCGGGTGATTACTTTGGTGCTTCGCAGAATTTGCCACTTCCCCCCGAAGCCAGTCCTTTTCGGGTTTTTTTTTTTGCTGCGGCCCCAGTGATTTGTACGGCTTCGAAGTCGGGCTAGGTGTTTTTAATGCACAACATCGTTTGATTTTGGGCTAACAGCTCTGGGAATAAATCGGAATATGATTTCTAACACTTAAAATCGTATGGGCAGCTGGTGTTTAGAAGCAATTTCCGCCTGGGTATTGGCCTATCGAGTTTTTGACCGCCGGGATTTTGGCCGCTTTTTACAGTGATTCCGGACCAATCCTCCAGCCACCGGGTAACAACCCGTAATTTCCGGTACTTTTTACGAAGAAAAACCGGAAGAACTTTTCTAGCGTCAATTCTTGACTTTTCCCGGCTACGACCACAACTCTCGAGGGAAATCCTGAATTAACAGCCGATTCCCGCAAAATTCTATTTTCCAGGAATGGTGTTGCGACGGCTTCTCCTTGGTTCGATCATCTCCAGCCTGTACCTCGTCGTCGGGCAAACGATTACTTGCTATGTATGTAACTCCAAGTGCTTTGCCCAAAAATAGCGCACTTTTAGAATTGCACCAGCTCGCGGACGTGCAGCCCGTCGAAAGATGTGTGTACGGCAACGGCTTGTTATATTGGTTGGTGAATTGAGTACCGTATTTTGCGTAAATAGTAGGGTTGCGTAGCGCAATGTGACAGTCAGCCGTAAGTTGACAACCAAAGCTTAGAAAGCGCTTGCATACCTAAGCATAAGCCAAAAACTAGACCTACGCCTAAGCCTAAGCTTAAGCCAATCCCACGCTTAAGCCTGGGCCTAAGCCTACCTAAGCCAAAACCAAAAACAGGCCAAAACCCAATCACAAGCCTAAGTCAAGCCAACAAAGCTAAACGAAGCTTATGGACCTTTTCTAGTAACCGAAGACAACTATATGGCGAGTGGATGCGCGACAGACGCCGTCACCTTCACCGTAAACAATACGAACGTCGCCGGACTGTGCTACAGACCGGATAATATCACGTAAGTGCACTGCTGAAGCGTTATAACCCGAATTTTATGCTCCAGAAGAGTCTGCGCTTGTCATACAGCATCTTGTAACACCCGCCTCGATTCTGACGCGTTTCCAGACGTGAATATGACCATTCTACAGTCATTGAATATTTCTAGTTTAATGGAGGTAGGACCTTAAATATTAAAATAATTCTCTTTATACAGTTAATTTTTAAATTTAATTAAACTGCATTATCAGTCTAATTTAAGCCATATTTTAAGTACATTGACTTTGGCCTAGATCGCCCAGCAACCTCCGGTGACGCAAGCGTCGGTTGTGACGACTGGCGCCCCGGAAACCACGACAAAAGCCGGACTACGCAACGCTCCTATTGACGCCCTGTACTATGTGCTTTTCTTGGCCTTGTTTTTCAGCTTATAGTTGGTTATATACAGGGTGTCCCCAAAAAAAACGACCCATCTGGCATTTGGCCGTGTTACATCCCAATCGGCCCCAAATTTGGACCAGAGGCGTATCAGACCCCAAATAACAACAATCCTGACTTATAGCCTGGTAGCTACAGTCGTTCTCGAGTTATAGCAAAAACAAACTTTATTTTCCATTTTTCATGGGGCTTTAGTGGAATTAGACCCCCTAAACATTAAGTGAAAATGATCCGGTAGGCCTTCTTTACCGTAAGAAATTTTTTTCCAGAGTAAAATTAATTAAATAAGCTTCGATTTAAGCGATTTTTACAACGCAAAACCACCCCAGTTCTTAAACGAAATTAGGGATTCGCAGCCGGAAGTCGATGCAAATCGATGTAAAGTCCAAAAAGATAGCCGATAAAACTGTTCAGAATTCCGGGAAAAACAGTTTTTTCGTTATAACTTTAAAACGACTGTAGCTATGGGGCTGTAAGTCAGGATTGTTGTTATTTAGGGTCTGATACACCTCTGGTCCAAATATGGGAACGATTGGATGTAACATGGCGAAATGCCAGATGGGTCGTTTTTTTTGGGACACCCTGTATAGAGGTTAAACCTGAAAAATGTCTCTGTTATCATAGGCCCCAAACTAAGAGTAAGCGGTCCTTTGCCATTATCGGGGGGAGGGGGGTAGACTAACTTTTTCTTAGTAGGCAATTTTTGTAATATAAATAGAAAGTATTTAAAATGTGTATTTTAGTATATGCATAAACGTAAGAATTGTATAAATTTATGAAAAATACAAAAACTCCGGATTTTTCGACCAAAATAGCTTTAAAATGCGTAGATGTTTCTGATGGTTTTGGTTTCCCACCCCCGATAATGCCAAAGCACCGCCAGAGCACATGCCCGTTTTCTAAGACAAATCTAAATGATATCAACAATTTTATGCGTTTTAGAAATAGCATCAAAATCGTATAAATCTCGATATAGTAATCTCTTCAATTTTAAAACTTTGAATAGTCATAACGATCGTTTAGATCAGGTTAGCCTCGTGGAAAAACGTTGTTTAAATCCCGATTTAATGCTAGTAACGAAAAATTAACTATTATAAAGAAGTTCTCCAGTAAACTAATGTTATTATAAGCCATTTGACCTCCAAAACTCGGTGATGCTCAACCCTGACTCCAATTGAGAATCGCCCCCTCCTCCTCTCCCATTGTGCCAATCAAAATGTCTCGTTCTCCCCCCACCTCCTCATCCCGCCGATGCCAAACACCCCCAATCACCTCAATCTGAATAAATTGATCTATATATTACCAAAAATGCCTTGCAGAACACTGCTATTAACTTTTACTATATTTTTTATCTTAACTTCAGCCCAGGGTCCGTACTATCCAAATCATTGGTATGGGGCTAATCAGGTACGTTTTAGTGGTTTTGATATAGGCAGGGGCAGCGACACGCAACGCGCTAGTTCGCTTTTTCATTGCATAACGGATTACGATGGATCTACCAGTCTAAAACAACGCGCGCTGCATCGCGGCACGGCAAAATGCCCAGGATATCCATAGCCTTATAAAATCCATCATCGGCCTTGCCCGCTCCTTTAAAAATACGAGCAAGCGAGCGTTATGCGGCCTACGTGAATTTTTTGCCTCCGAGACACGCAACGCGCACGCTTTTGACTTCGTGATTGATTACGTCGCGTTACGGCGCCCATTACGTATGCGCGTTACGTGTCGCCGACGCGAGAAAGCCCCTAGGATGGCAATGGCCTTGAAAATTTGCGCGATGTAGCGACCATTCAAACTACAATCTACAAACTAAATTTTGCTGCGCCCCAGACAGGCAACGCGCAGGCCCGCTTTTCCGTTGCGTCATGGATTCAGTTCAGGGCTGAAGCGTGGCGCGTGCGGTCTGCGTTGGGTCTCGCCACGGAAGTATCCATAGAAAATTGAAGCCAAGATACCCATCGGTATACCTTTTCTAGGGCAACATCCGGTCAGGTGTAGTACCAGCGAAAGAAACGCTTCCCCAGCCCGTGATGAATGAGGGCACACTACGGTAAGTGGGAGTAAAAGTGACGTAAACGTATTAATATACGCTAGAATCGGTCCCTTCACCTGATCTCACTACGCATCGCTGGGAACACGTTTTTCAGCAATTTTAAAGTACGATTTTTAGACCTCACGTTTGCGGCTTCAACCCGTTCACCCGACAATGTATGGATCCGCAGGGGTATTGCCCGGGAAGGTAATAGATTACCCTTAAATTATTTACCTTTACAAATTTCTCAGTGATTAAAAATAACAAATTCTTTGCCAAAAAACGACACTCAATATTCAGGGTTTTGTTTTCAGGTGTATGAACTTCCACTATACCTACAACACGATCTACGAGTGCCGGTGCCTCGTCATTTAACGTTTTATTGTTTCATATTTATTTTGAAGGCTTTATTTCCGATGAGATCATTATAAATCGATAGCATTTGTTTTCTTCCCTTATCCGTTCCGGCGCAGACAAAATCGCCAATACTTTTCGCATCCGTCGCGGTATCGAGGTTGGGAGAGGAGGAGGGCATTGTTGCAGTACTGCTCCGCGTAGCCCCTGAAATTTAGTGAAATCGATTTTTGCAAGCGATAAAAAGTTAAAAAATGGCCAAACATTTTAACTTCAATTTTTCAATATCGAAATTAAAAGTTTTCATTCAGAAAAACTAGACTTTTTAAAAACAAGTTCTCGAACTACGTACCTGTACGCGGCGCACAATCGCTGTACACTGTTACTCCGTCGGCCCTTACGCTCCGGTAGTACCGGCTTGCCGGGCAATGGAACGTGGCAATGATCCGAGTAGATTGGACAGAATAGGACTGCCTGAAAAGTATATTGATTGAAGGTACGGGCAAGACGTTACTATGGATTATTTTTCGGTTCTGGGATTTTAGCGGGGGGGAGTTTAGAAGGGGGAAACCGCTTTTTGTTTTCCAACAATGCCTGTTGGCGATATATTATTATTTTTCATAGTATTTTTAGTAGTTTTTCATCGCCATAAATTGAAAAAAATAATTTTTTAATTTTGAAAATTGAACTTTTTGGTCATTTTTCATGCATTTCTGAACAAAAGCCAAAAATTTTCAAAGATTTCTATTTTTTTAATATTGTCTGTTATCTACAAACTATGTAAAATGATGCTATAAAAATTGTGAATTTTTGTTATAGGGCCGGCGAGAATTACAGGGAAAAATTTGGTCCCCCTCCCCCGCTAACGGTCCAGAACCATTTTTCAGCGAAATTTCGATTTTCCAAAACTCGAGAATACTCACCTTTTGCCCAAACCTAAACGGATCGGGGCATATGTAGAGGTATCGCGTCTTGAACTCCTTGCAGAAGCGCGTGAAGTTGATGCGCTTCTTCTTCTTCTTGCCTCCAGAAGCCAAGGGAGCGCTTGAGGTATCGGAGTCTTCCCTAAAATTTAGGCTTTGCCCCGCTTGAAACTCCAAAACCCACCTTCCCCTCTCTTTATGCTTGAAAATGCGGTCATCACCGTCGTTGGCGTCGATGGGGGCAAGTTCGGCTTGCACTCGAGAATTGCTAGATTCCGTAGATGGATGGCTGTTTTTTCAAACCTCATCAAGGTCGAGCCCTCATTGATTTTTGAGCATATGTTCTCGAAGGCTTGGCAGAATTCCTGTTCTCGCCTGTCGCCGCTGCATTTTTCGTTGTATTCTTGTTTCAGTTCACGGCAGGCTACCTGTAAATAATGGAGGTCTGGAATGCTTAGGTCAGCTTAGGCCTAGCTTAGGCTTAGCTTTGCTTAGGCTTAGGCTCCGGCTTAACTTTAGGCATGTATTTAGGCTTAGACTTAGCTTTAGGCAGGTAATTAGGCTTAGGCTTAAGATTGGCTTAAGCTTAGCATAGGCTTCGGCTTAGAGCTTGGCATAGAGCTGGCCTTGGCTTAGAAGTCACTGTAGGCTATCGAGTGATTTTTGCATACCTTATCCCGTTCCGCATCCGGATCCGCGGCCCGTTCTCTTCTTTCCACCCTCGCAGGTGCCGTATCCGAGTCCGATTCTACTTTTCTGAAATGGCAAAATGGCAATTGTTTCTAAGAAGATATGCAAGGCATTGCCATCGATTCGCTATAGATTCCGGCACGCGCCGACACGTAACGCGACACATACCGCCCCTTCATCTTTCAACTGCCAATAATTGTTCGTGCGCGCGTTGCGTGTTGCGGGTAATATTATAAAATAAAAATATCCATGCAAGATAAAATCCATGCGGTATTGACGATCGAATAACTCTTTAAAAAGTGAGACTTGTGGGACTGACGCGCAAAACGGCAGAGACGGATCGCGATCGCAGCCCATTCCGACGACATCTATGGCTTCTGCGAGGGCACTTACGAGAAAAAGAGTCATTGAAAGACGACAAATGATCATCTCCTGAAAGGAAATCGGTTTCATAATAATCTGTATCGGTTAAGTGCATATTGAGATATAAAGGTAAAGCAACGGTAAGCATTTCATTAGCTATCAACGCCGCGGCACTGGCACCTCTTTTTAAGTACGTCTAGCTACTAACGACACTAAAAGATACTGTACACCTGGAAAACATAAAACCTCCTGCTCCCCCGCTCCACGTATCGCCAATTTCTGCTCCCAACGACCACAACAACATTTTCCCTCTTTTTAGGAAACGACGCGTCGAGGAAAACGGGATTTTGGGGGGATAGAGTAATAGGCTCACTTGGAACAAGATTTGCGACCAGTCATTTTTCAAAGGTTTTCGGGTACGGCTAGAGTATCGTTGGGATCTTTCTAGGACCTTTTTAGGCATAAAAACGCTCTGAAAGAGATTGTTATGGAAACGACATGTGGTTCGTTTTTCGTTAGGAAAGCGCAGCACAGAAGCGATTATTTGAGAGGTAGTAGGTAGGCTAGCAAATATACTTGTGGAAGGATTTTCTAGTAGGGATCCTTTAGGAAAGGGAGGCTAGCAGAGATGGCACCCCGGCAAAGTTTCTTTAAGAGAAGGCAAGCTAGCAGCGATCCTTGAGGAAAAGGGAAAGATAGCATAGATCCTTTAGGAAGCGGGAAGCTGGCAGCGAGCCTTTGGGAAAAGCAGGCTAGCCGAGGAATTTTGAGAAAGAGCAACTTTGGCAAAATTGTTTTCGAAAAAGGCTAGAAGAGATTCTTTAGGAAAGGCCATCTAGCAGTCCTTTCAGCAAAATTTTGGACATATTACGAAAGCTTAATAGATTTTTTTATCTTAGGCCGATAATCAAGCGACGACTATTTGGTAAATATTGATTGAACAAGTGATTACCAGCCTAATCCATTAGGCGAGAGGTAGAGGAGGGTCTGTCTGCACGAGTTCTCGAGGAAATGGAAAGTGTGTCCTCCTCCCATTTTCTCGCCATTCCCCCTCCCATCATTGCCAAAAACGGACACAATCAATCACCGGCTGGCTGGAAGGGGTGACCTTGAGGCCGGGAATACTACAATCTCAATCGGCTATACGCCCAGGGGGGTTTAGCGGAAATGGAGAATCTGGATGAAGTTATTAAAGGGACCAACAAGGCATGGCTTGTACAGGGCCTCCAAAAAAGCCCTCCAGCGGGCCGCTGTCGAGTCCGATTCTTACGATTTAGCTATCTACCGAAAGCTCTCGACGAGCTGAGGTTTCGCAATCTGGTTTCTAATTTTCGCAATACCTGAATGTTTCGCTCGATTTTCGACATTTTTTATGCCAAAGTTACACTATTTTAAAAAAAACCTCAACTTCAGGTCTTCGTTGCTATCCCGCTCTACAATTTTGACGCGTTTTCCTTTTATGACAGCCCAACGATTTGCCCAACAGCTCAACGACAACGATTTTCGATAGTCATTTAAGGAAACACAACTTGTATAGTGCTTAGGAATCATCTGACGATCTAATTATGTTTTCTAAAGAAGTTGTATTTTTGCAAGCTGTACAAAGATTTATCATCTTTTCCACAGCATCTAATTGCCGCCGGTCATTGAATCGAATGTGGGCGACTTGCCAAATATTCGGCCATCTTTGGCATCGACTTCAGCTTGTCGGTGTGCTCGGCTATCTGGAAATGAGCGTGTTTTAGCCAATGAAAGTCGGACCCTTGGCCAGCCATCCGTCAGCTCAGGGACCCAGTTGCGGAAAATTAGGACGTGGCTCAGCAGTAGCAAATCGGCGTACGTCAGGGAGTCTCCTACCTAAAAACCTCTCACTCTCTCTAACTCGCTCTCTAACTGTCTCACTCTCTCTCTCTCTCTCTCTCTCTCTCTCTCTCTCTCTCTCACACACAGCGAACTCCCAATTACCAAAAATCCAGACTCTGTCTCATTCTCCTCGATAAACTTTGTCAGTATCCCGAAGAAAAGATCGCGCTCGGGCAGGAAATTCGAATGCAGGAGGGCTTGCTAAAAAGGTAGCGCCTAAACGCAATCGGCTCGTCTACCTGATCGCCCTCCCAATACTTGCACGCCACACCGTAAAAGGGTCGAACGCGGCTGAAGTACGTCTGAAAAGCAGAAAAGTAAAACTAGTAAATTAGAGAGGTGACCGAGAGAGAGCGAGAGAGAGAGAGAGTGCGAGCGAAGAGCAGAGGGAGGGAGAGAGAGAACAGAGAGAGAGAGAGAGAGAGATAGAGAGAGAGAGAAAGAGAGAGTGAGACAGAGAACCGGCCAACGCGGAATGGCCGGAGAGCGCCAGAGAGCGAGAGACAGCGAGCTAGGAAAGAGAGAAAGAGAAAGAGATAAAGGTGGAGGGGCGAGAGAGGCTTAGAGAGAAAGAGAGAAAGACGGCGGGTGAGAGAGAGAAATTCGGATAGATTCCGACTTACGTGGTGTAAATCCGCCAATGAGTCGACCTGAGCCCGTTCCCACTCCGAATTCCCGGCAAAACCTTTAAATTCAGGGTATTTTTAGGATTACTCCTTATACTTTAATTAGGCGACTTTTTATTTTTTGTCCTCACCATATCGATTGGCGACAAATCGATTGATGGTATTCGACTCGGCCAGCACCTTCCCATCAACCTCAAGCACCGGCGATTGCCCAAAGATGAACGGATGGGCTGAAAAGGCAGTTTTTGAAACCGAGCGGTTGCGTCGCGGTCACCGGACTGGGAATTCGATAGCGTAATCGAAAAACCCACAGCCCTTCAACTTTGGCCAATCCTCGAAGGCGAATCGCCGATCGGTGTAGGGCACGTTGGCCAGGGCGAACATCATCCGCGTCGGTTCCGCCCGTCCATAGCAGTCAAAGTAGTGAAGTGTGTACGCTACCATACTCTAAACGGGAGCATGGTAGCTAACGCCACGGCATGAGATAGTCGGTTTGGAACGAGTTCTGGGACTGGACTGGTAGCGGGGGGGGCTATTGTCTCCCATTAATCCATTATAGCCTTATAAAATACCAGATGGTTACAGTCGCTTCGCGACTGCAACCATCTGGCCTTCGGGCTACCCTACATGTCCCACTCCACCACATCCTTTCCCCAACTTCATCAACCCTCCCACCCCCATAGCAGAAATCCCCTTCAAAAACTACCTAAATACCTTCCTGATGGCTTCAGATACCGCCCTAGCCGAAATCCCCTTCAAAAACTACCTAAATACCTTCCTAGATACTTTAAATAATTTAAATAATTAATTAACATAGTTAAAAAGTATTAAAAATGGGAGGGGGGAAAGGGGGCGTGGCTTCCCGGGAGAGGGCCCCCCACCCCTTTTACTAAGGAAAAAACTTTCAAAGTTAATTTTAATAATTTAAACGAAAAGTTTTTCGTAATTTTTTAATCAGTTTGGGGTTTCTTGACCACGCTCTATCCGAATCCGATGAGGCTAAGCTCCTAGCTCATTTCCCCTTCGGTTGAATTCGGCTTCAGACAGACAGACAGACGGAGACCACAGCAAAATTATTATAGTTGATAAATCATTTTTATCGAATTTTAAGCAGTTTTTCGAAGACTTATAGTTTGAAGTGTTAAACAGTCCATTGAAATTATCCATAATTTGCGAAAAATTTTGAGTTTTTGTTGAAAAATCGTTATATTTTTGAAATTTTCACAAAAATTAAACATTTTTATGAATTCCTAAAAATTAAAGACTATTAAAGAGTTATAAAAATGCATTAGTTATTTCTAACCGCTGAATGTATAGGCAATAAAAATTTAAAAATGCACTCCCCCGGCTAACAGTCCAGTACCGCGGATTTCCCTGCCAGACTTTGCATAAAAAGTACCGAAAATCGAGCAAAATACTAAACAAACAAAAAATTGAATGAAAAACCGGAAAAACATCCTATTCTAGAGCTTTCGATAGGTACCGAGATCGTAAAAACCGGACCCTCCTGCGAGGGGAGGGGATGTGTTTTAGATACCCTTGAGATTTCTCAAGAAACTTGTCGAACAGTGTACAGTATCCGATGCATTTATTACCTAAAATACAGAAGTCAACACAAAAAAATACAACAAAAAAACAGCACATAGCGCCTGGGAGCGCAAGCCTTGATATGACGATTCTCGGAGGTGGTGAGAGGAGATACAGGGTGATAAGGGGAGGGTAAAGACGGAAAAGGAGACGACAGGAATGGGAAAAGGGCACAAAATAGGCAATAGACAAATGGGATCTGCACACTGTTGACGCTGAATGTAGCTTAAGCTCAGCTTGGCTTGGGCTTATGTTTCGGATTATACTCAGCTTTGTTTAGGCTTAGGTCTAGGCGAGATCCTTGGTGGAGACGAACTCGTACTCGTGACGTGCCAGCCGATTCCACAGCGCTACCATGACGGCCAGTGGGACGGCACACCTAGAGAAAATAGTAACGCGATTTTAAAAAAATATTGATTTCTATTTTATTTATTTGTAGTAAAAACATCTAAATAAAACTAAAAATGATTCTATGATCCACCAGAAACCATCGGCCACCCAGAAGACGATAAATTCAGCGAGCCACCCAGTTCCGGGTCTGATGTATTCGCGTGTGCCTGAAAATCGCGATTTTGGAGACTGGAGACGGACACCACGTGCGATCAGCTGGGCCGTCTGTAGTTTTTGCTTTTTGATAAGGCTCAGAAAATTGGGGGCGGCTTCCGGCTGCGAACTTTAAAGTGATGCCCAAGCCCCACTCCTATAGACGCACGCTACCCAATTTTATCACCCGGTTTTTTGGCTGCTGAGTGGCGGTGTGGGCCTAGTGAAGGAATGCCGTCGATTATAACCCTTCATGGTCCCTTTAAAGGGCCGGTTAAGTTACAAAAATGAACTGTCCGGAGCCGCGACACGCAACGCGCAAAAACGGATACGATACGGATACAGGAACGGAATTAAAAAAGCGCTGTAATCAATTACGTAATGGAAAGAGAACGTGTGCGTAGCGTGTCCTGGGCACGCCGAGGTTCATTGGAAATCCATGAGCAAAAAATCAAGATCCATCCTTGCAAGTCCCTTTAAAAGAAGGTCAACTCAAACTAAGCATATGCATTTTCACGTAAGCCATTCGGCTTCAGCTTGGAAAAACAGCAACTTGAAAAATAATTTTTTCTACCTTCCGGCTGTCGAATGTACAGCACCATATACCAGAACGTCTTCCAGAAGACGAACGCCGACGTGGTGAAGGCGAGCAGGACCGTATGGCGGGACTCACGCCGAGCCTAAAAAATGTTTTGAAAAATGTGCCATTCCGTGCAACACGTTTTTGCTCGGTTTCCTACATCAAATTCAATATTTTAAGAAACGTACAAGGATCAACGTCACCAGATTCATGACGACCTCAATAGCCATCACCCTTCCGGTGGCCATCGTCACCAGGTCGTCCCATTCCGCGTATCGAAGATCGACGTCCGCGTAGATGTTCCCTTAAAGAGCATTTTAAAGGGACGGGTATGCATGTATTTCTATTCTAAGCTGAGGTTCAGCTAAACCTACGTTGAGCCCAAGATAAGCGTAAGCTAACCCTAAACTAATTCTGATGAAAGCCAAGCCTAAGCCAATCCCAAGCTACGGCCAAGGCAAGCATAAGATAAGCCTAAGCACGGCCTAAGCCTAAGCCTAAGCCTAAGCCTAAGCCTAAGTCTAAGCCTAAGCCGAAGCCTAAGCCTAAGCCTAAGCCTAAGCCTAAGCCTAAGCCTAAGCCTAAGCCTAAGCGAAGCCTAAGCCTAAGCCTAAGCCTAAGCCTAAGCCTAAGCCTAAGCCTAAGCCTAAGCCTAAGCCTAAGCCCCAAGCCTAAGCCTAAGCCTAAGCCTAAGCCTAAGCCTAAGCCTAAGCCTAAGCCTAAGCCTAAGCCTAAGCCTAAGCCTAAGCCTAAGCCTAAGCCTAAGCCTAAGCCTAAGCCTAAGCCTAAGCCTATGCCTAAGCCTAAGCCTAAGCCTAAGCCTAAGCCTAAGTTTAAGCCTAAGCTAAATAAGCCTTAGATATGTATAGGCTGAGCCTAAGCCAAGTCTAAGCCAAGTAACCCTAAGCTAAGCCTAAGCTAAGTCGTCCACAAAAACCCCGATTTTCTGAATCCAGGGCAAAAAATGGCTTTCCAACCTCCTAATAGCTAATAAAGTCCATTATTTCTCCTTCCGTTCTAAATTTGCAACAATCCCTCATCCCCAGACCAAACAACAGGCCGAACTGAGCAAACAATGCGCCACAGACAGACAGACCCACACAAACAGTCGAAAAATTAGCCTACACGGCTCGAACAGCTTCTCCAAATAGCCGCCGCGATTCGTGTACGGGCGGAATGTCGTGTAGATGATGTCGATCGTGCACAGGATCTGAACGGGATTTTTGGGTTTTGTAAAACTAATTTTTAAAGCAAAGAATTTCTTGAAAATACCGAGGAAATGGCCAGCCACCACTCTACCCATAGCGGCAACAGCCGCCCGGCCGCTCGCATTTTCGTTCTGAAAAAGGGTGTAGGTGAAGAGTATTGTAATGGAACCGAAAAACATAAAGAAAGAAATATATAATCTACAGGGTGTCCCAAAAAAATCCCCCCCCCCTAGCCGGCCGCAGACGTGTCCGATTTTTACGATTTAGGTATCTATCGAAAGCTCTCGGAAAGGCGAGTCCAGCACGTCTTGCGGATTTGCGAAATTTCGGAATTTTTTGCTCGATTTTCGGCATTTTTCAGGCCAAAAGGACAGACTTTTTGTTCAAACCGCAATTTAACCGGTTTAAGCGCTTTCCAAGCTGTGTTTTGGCAAACGGCTTACAAAAAGCTGCCGTTGAGTGGCCAGGAAAAGCCTAAAAATTCTTAAATTGCGATTTTTGTAAAAAACCCCCTGGTCAGAACAACATCAGAAAATCCGCCCATTTCGCAAAAACATTAGTAACTGATGGAAAAATTTCCAAATTATGAAAATCGAAGAGACGTGCTGGACTCGTCTTTCCGAGAGCTTTCGATAGATACCTAAATCGTAAAAATCCGACAGGTCTGCGGCCGGCTAGGGGGGGTTTTTTGGGACACCCTGTATAAACGAAATATTTCAAAGATTTGTAAATTTATTCGATTATCATATTTAATAAATCGCAGATAAAACGGATGAGTCTGACTGGCTTAAATCAAGACCTAAGCCGAAGCCTGAATTTAAGCCCATCCCTAACAAGGAGATGGTCTCTGCTGGGAATCGAATTCGGATTTGAAAATTTGCACACTTATAGAGCTCGACGAGACAAATCGATTGGTGTAACTTTCAGCTGCTGATACAATAACGACGCCGAGTTATAAGCATTTTAAGTTTTTGCATGCATTTTGCATTGTTTCGGCCATAGCTTCATAGGCCTTCCCCGCCTCCCCATCACCATGGTCTGGTGGCCTAGTGGTGTAGTAGGCGTCCTCCGGGGGAATCTGACGAGGGTTCGAGCCCGCTCACGATTTTTATTTTTTGCTTTTTCGTCCGAAGGTTTCTCTTTGCTTTCTGAAGACCTTGAATAGCTTTTTACGCATTATTTTAACTCCTCTGGTGCGAAATGGCTAAAAAACATCTCTTTGAAAAAATTTAGATTTTTTTACCCGAAATGACTATGCCGGTCCCAAAATAAATTGAAAATTCAAAGCATATAAAAAAATCGTGGAGTAAGCGTAAATTTGGTAAATGGTGTGTTATCCGAACAAAAACTTTCATCCGCGAAAATTTTTTGGAAATGTAGTCATAGGTCGGACAAGGGCTCGATGCCCAGCAAGAAAATTTTTTGCGGTGAAGTTCGATGTTGTCGGCGCACCAGAGGAGTTAAAATAATGCGTAAAAAGCTATGTAAGGTCCTCAGAAAGCAAAGAGAAACCTTCGGACGAAAAAGCAAAAAATAAAAATCGTGAGCGGGTTCGAACCCTCGTTAGATTCCCCGGAGGACGCCTACTACACCACTAGGCCACCAGACCATGGTGATGTGGAGGCGGGGAAGGCCTATGAAGCTATGGCCGAAAAAATGCAAAATGTATGCAAAAACTTAAAATGCTTATAACTCGGCGTGGTTATTGTATCAGCAGCTGAAAGTTACACCAATCGATTTGTCTCGTCGAGCTCTATAAGTGTGCAAATTTTCAAATCCGAATTCGATTCCCAGCAGAGACCATCTCCTTGTAAGCCGAGTCAATACCTAAGCTAAGTCTAAGCCAAGCCTAGCCAAGCCTAAGCATAACTCAAGCCTAACCAAGCAAACAAATTTCCTGGAGTCTATGCAAAGAAATGCGTTTCCTGGAAGAAACGGGACAAGGCGTTGAGAGGTGTGTCTTGTAGTCGGTGCCTTATTCCTCGCTTCTCGACTTTGAAAGCGAGAGAGAGAGGGGAGAGAGAGAGAGCGAGAGGGAGAGAGCGAGAGAGAAAGCAAGAGCAAAACCGGCGAGGGGGTTTCCATCTGACCCATATATCCATCCGCCTTTCAATTCGACCTCCTCGCCCCTTTTCTTGCCACTTTCCCCCCTTCCCCGGATCCCTCCGGTTCCGCAGAACACCTTTGTACACAGTCGAGGAATCTTGCGGAACTAGGCGCAGTGAGTTAAGGATTATTCATGGTTCGATCAAGCGCCAAAAAACCTGAAAGTGCAAAAATTAGAAACCGATATTCCTAAGCCTAGGCTGAGCCTAAGAGATCCAGGCTAACAAGGAGACGTTTTTGAGTGTCGTCGGGAGTTTGGCACGGGACCAAGCCTATCTTGTGTAGAATTTTACGCTGATTCCGAATATGTTAAAGACTACCAGAACGATGGAACGCGCACTGTCGCCCCGAGGGTGCTGCCCCCAAGAACGCGCAGAGAGGGTCGTCATTAGTGGTGTCCCGTAACGGGCAAAGACCCTCTGGGGCTTGGGGCGCCTCTGACTCCCTTCCCTACTTGGCCCTGTGGTATAGTGGCTAGCGCGTCGGACTGTGGAGCGAACCATCGCGGGTTCGACCCCCGCCCGGTGCGCAACTTTCTTGCTCTAAACGATATTTCATCGTTCTGACGGTCTTTAACCGTTTTTGCGGAATAGCCATTTCTCGAAAGTTATGAACGATTTAAACCTCAAAACAGCCCAAAATCGGCTACTTTCAATAGTCATAAAAGGCTTCGGAATAGGTTTTAAACAAAACTTGATGGTGCATCTTGTTCAGAAAAAATTCTCTATAAAATAAGCCACTTAACTCAAAAATGTTGGAATTTTGAAAATTTTTGTAAAATTATGGACCTCCCAATTTATCAAATTTTTCCAACTTTTCACTGATTTTTGAAAAGCTGGGACATTTTATAGAGAATTTTTTCTGAACAAGATGTACTATCTGGTTTTGTCTAAAACCTATCTTGAAGCCTTTTATGACTATTGAAAGTAGCCGATTTTGGGCTGTTTTGAGGTTTAAATCGTTCATAACTTTCGAGAAATGGCTATTCCGCAAAAACGGTTAACATATTCGGAATCAGCGTAAAATTCTACACAAGATAGGCTTGGTCCCGTGCCTAACTCCCGACGTTACTCAAAAACGTCTCGTTGTAAGCCCAAGTCTAAGCCTAAGCCCAAGCCTAAGCCTAAGCCTAAGTCCAAGTCTGAGTCTAAGCCTTAGCTTAAGCCTGGACCTACCAGGGTAAGCCTCGGACTAAGCCCAGCCAAAGCTAATCCTAAGCGAAACATAAGCCAAGAGTATGCCAGGCCTAAGTTAAGCCTAAGCCCAAGCTAAGCCTAAGCTGCTCCTACGCCTAATCCTAAGCCTAACTCTAAGAAAAAGGCCGTACCAAAAGTCCCAACAAGCCATTATTATAAAAGCGGCCGGCTCGAGTTGCTGAATGGCCGGTCCGGATGGATGGGTGCGGAAAATTGGGCGGCGAAGCCTTGTCGTGGTCGAAGAAGAGATCTGGTCCACCCCATTCCCCCTTCCCTCCGTCCGTCCATAGTGTCCACCCGTACGGCCATTCAGCCACCATCCCCCCTCGACAAACATACGGTGGCCACATGCGGTTGGGAGAGAACGGGAAAATGGAGAGGGCACAGAGCCGCAGATTGAATATTTGGCCATGTTTCAATCGGGTGCCTGGGCCTCCGGGAGACCTGGATGAACGGTGTGGGCCCTACGAATTTTTTTCCCCGGAGCTCTCGACATGTCGCTATTTGACACCTCTGTTTTGTGTCGAGGGAGGGAGGGAGGGAGGCAGGGAGAGAGAGAGAACCAGGATCAAACAGATCAAACTAGTAAAAATCAGGAGTTTTTGCGGTTTTCTTAAATTTCAAAGGTACACGTGCGAGCGATTTAGAGAGAGAAAGAGGGACAGTGTGTGTGAGAGATAGAGAGAGAGAGAGAGAGAGAGAGAGAGAGAGAACGAGCAAGGTATGGTCTTATAAATGTGTGATTCAGAGAACGCCTTCGACCAACATTTTATTCACAATTTCCACCACCGTCAAATCCCAATTTTTCGCTGTACTTGGCCGAGTCGGGGTTCGCCAACTCCCAATTCCCATCATCCAGCCAATAGATATTGCGCTTAGTGGTGAAGCGCAAAAATCGGAGAACCAGGTCGGCGACAGTATTGTACGGCCTCCCCAGCTGCAGCTTCAGATACGAGAAGTTGATCTCGACGACGAGGGCGAGGAGCGAGATTCCGAGAGCCCCCAGGAGGACGTAGAAGATTACGGAGAGCTGAAAAAAAATCGCTTAAGGGTATTGTCAAGATCTCCAAATACGTGATCACAAATAAACTACGCTTCGCTACGTACGCTACGCACGCTACGGGTCTATGGCGGAAATACCTGTCGTAATGTAAAGGCAGTCTTTGTAGGGAGTTGTTGGATGGAAACGGGTGGGTATATTGGGTCGTAGTGTAGGTCGACTGTCTAAAGTGATGAAATGAAGTTTGGTGGAGACGGAGCGTGAGAGAGCGAGAGAGGCACGAGAGAGAGAGAGAGAGCGAGAAAATGAGTGATATCTTACCTCTAAAGCCCCAAGCAACGTAATGACCGCATTATCGATCCGTTCCATCAGTTTTCTGTCGACCCTTTTATTGAAAATCAAACTGGCTGGGAATATCTTCAATGCCATTTTTGCCTTTTTATCCTCATTAAACTGACATTAACATTCCTTATCACCCAAACATGCGAATGGAATTGTCTATCCGTAAGGGTACTGTATTCCGATGTGATACGATGTCCGGGCAACCAGGCAAAGGCCACCAACGGATAGGGGTGCTAAACGGTATTTTGAAGGGTGAGAGAGAAACAATTGATTAACCTTTCGCACAAACTCGTCTTGAGCGAGTTTTTGATAGGAGCCAATTATCGGCGGGTATTTGGCGAATATCTCCTCGAAAATCCGGTCACAACGGTCATAGTACTCGTACGGACACACCGGGATTTGTGTGGTACTGCTGGTGAGGAGGCGGTATTCGCCCATTCTAAAAAAACGATAGGATTGCCCGAAACGAGGGATCTTTCGCATTATCGGGGGTTCCTTAGAATCTGCTTTTTTTCAAAATAAATATAGTAAATATTTCTAAACTCTTTTTCGCAATATGAAGCCCAAAAAATTGCAGCTTTTCGTGAAAAAAGCAAACATTTTTCGTTTTTTCCAACAAAACGGCTGATTTCTGACCAAAATTTCGGTTTTTAAACAGTTTTACATTTTTTTGATAGTTTCCTACCTGAATATCGTTACATTTTATTAAAAACAGGGGAAAAGCCGGACTCAACCCTGCCCCGTTGACCCATAAAACTCACTTACATACACGAATCAGATAAAAAAATCAGAACCGGAAGTGATCGCCCATATACTCCCAATATATGGGCGTTACCACCGGTGTATGTTAATGACCCTAACAAGGGGTCCCTGAAAATTTTAGAAAAACTTAAATTGAACGTTGTAAACAGCTGATTTTGTAAAATCTTTTATATGTGTAATCATCTCCAGGCCATTACACATATAATGACGTATCAAGCATACCTTAAAACCTCCCTTTCCGAGATATCCTGGAAGATGAGGGTTGATGCAGTGGCAGGCAAAAAATTTATTAAAAATACTACTACTTTTAACTCTAAGCAATAAAAGACTAAATAAACACTAAAAACACCGATTATCTTTATGATCGATCTTTAACTCCAGACATTACTAAAAATTACTGCAAAGCCAGCAGGAACCCTCGAAAATCCTGAAACGGCAGCTCGATATTGTCAGAAAATATCAGAATCTTCCGCAAATTCGAGCCGTAATAATCCACAAAAACCCGCATGAACATCATAATCCACAAGACGGTGAAAATCTGAAGCTGATTAGCGGTTTTTCAAGGTTAGCGGCCATACCCTAACAGTATGATACCGCGAATGGTAGCCCGTATTTTCAGCGCCGAATCGAATCTCGGTAAACGTCTCCAAAAGCATGTAAAACCCATTGGTTAGATGCCTGAAAAAACTTATCTTTCAGGGCCGAAAGATTTAGGTACTTTTGCAGTATCAGGGGAGGGTCAACGACCTTTCTTAATCCATTTCGTAATATAAATAGGAATAGTTAAAACACATCTCTCTAAATTCACAAAATTTTTGTTAAAAATCGATTTTTCTAGATACTTTGACTACCTTCCAAATTGTTTAGATAGTTTTTTACCTGGAATCCGCTCCTATAATGCAAAAGAACCAAAATTTAATCTTTTGATGAAATTAATGCCCAAAAAAGCGTACTTCGTTCGCGTTTCGGCCCCGCGAAACTCGAAAAATCTGAACAGCGTATACAAGAGCACCAGGATAAATAGCATAATCAGTAGCGCCACCCAGACCTAAATTAGATGGATTTTATTGAGACTTAAAAATCACTTACGTTCGTGGAAAATGGGCGGAATAAAAAACTGTCAAGAAAGACGGGCAGGGAATCGTCGCGAATCATAAATACCTAAATCCAGAAATCTCCTAGATATTTAAAAAAGTTAATTTTAGCGATTTTTGATGGATATCATGTTTCTTTATTACCTGCGTAACTTCATATTGGCTCGGGAAAGAGAATTTGAAATAGTCGCGGCGCCTTGGGCTCATCACCGCCCGGGCGCACACCAGATCGTATTCGTCGTTTTGCACTTGGCCCAGGATACCTAGAGAAAAATGAATTAATGTTTGCAATAGTTTAATACGGACATTTTGCGCATCAATAATTCGCTAATTACATAAACATTGGTACTTTCGCATTATCGGGGAAGGTCATCGGGGAAACTCCCATTTTTTTCTTTGGAATTGAACTTTTCCATTATCGAAGAAGTGTTTCTATGCTTTTTTACTTTTCGAAAGTTGTAAAATTTACAAATTTTCATAAAAAAATAGAAAAATGGACGATTTGACCGAATTTCGAACTTTCAACAAATTTTTTTGAGTTTTTAGCTAGTGTTTCCTAGCTAGGTAGTTTAGTTTATAGTGAAATTTAACGAAAAATTCTATTAAATCATTTTCTATTGCGGTACTAGCGATTTTTGGACTTATAGGTATCATTTTGGGCCCAGGTACATCAAAGTGGCGGAATATCGTGATTTTTTTTATTTTTTCGAAACCCGTCAAAACCCAAAAACGGTTATTATAAAAACTGACCAGTTGCAATCCCATCAGGCGAAATATCGCCTAGCGGATCGTCGGAAAAGTGCAATTCGTAGGGTACTCGAGCATACCGCAGCACCATTTCACACTGCTCCACCTCCAGCCCCGAATGTGGCGATAGGCCAGAACGGAACATGTACGGCGACCCCGAATTCAGAATTGTCGTCGGGACAACGACACGGAGCGGGCCCGAGCGATTCATGAAATTAAATGGTATACTTTTAGCGGCTTCCAGATGTATGATCAGCAGGGGGATGTCGAGGAAGTATAGCCGGTAATCTCATCGTTTATTCCTGCGTATCAAGTTTCCGTCTGGGCGGCAAAAAGCGCCACGAGACAACGTAGGGTACCACTTTTTACGTTTTTCCAGGGTATATATAAAATAGTTTATTGCAATAAAACGAGGATAAGGAATTAGATGTGGAATCTTTCGTTATGTAGAGGTTTTGCCGCCGTCTGCTACCAGCCCAAACCACCCTGAAATTCGCGTTTTTAACTTAAATTTTTACATTTTGGTTTAGAAATTAAAGTGCCGTTAGTGGATAAAAATCTACACGCACAAAGCAGTTATAATCTCTTTCTTTTTGACCCACCGCAACTCCAATGTCATGCAGCCGAAGCGTGTGATGGGCACGATCCACGGCCCTGTCGATTTTATGATATTCTCCCGGGAAACATTCACGCCCGATTTTTCGCCATTGCACCATTAGCTCGTTGTCCCTAAATTAACCTACATTTGCAAAATAACGTAAAAAGAAGGCTGAAAATTTATCACTTTTAAGAAATAAGGTTTACATGGTTTCCTTGAGAGTTCCGCGCGCATCATGGTAGTTCTTTAGGTGCCCGATTCCGAGTTGGCGACTCGAAAATTCGGCTGGACACTCTGAGCAGCTGTAGGCCTGAAATTACTTGTATAAAAGTCATGGAAAGTCGACTTTCCGCCCCAGTAAAAACCTCCCTACCTTGCGGTTCATATGGCGCATCGTGTGTTCAAAAAGGGCAACCCGTTGTGAGGGTACTGGGTGGCTACACAACTGAAATGTTTCGAGTACAAATGTGCACAAACGTATGATTGTTGCTATTGAAAAAAACCCACGATGCATCTGACGATCTGCCGGCCCTTCGGCTGAACTTTCAGCTTTCTTGTCGCCTGAAAACGACGAAATAAGAGATAGATCGATAAGAATAAGGGTAAGAAATACGAAGTAGGCATTTAGGTATTTTAGATACTTTAAATTCATAACTACTTCTGAATTCAAAACGACACAAACCTTTGGCCTGTTCAACCCGCCGATATAATCCTTCATTACGGCCATGCGACTGGGGAAACACCGTTTTGTCAAACTCATCCATAACGCTTCGATTGCTTGCCGATTTCCGATTCTAAAAATGATATAGAAACAATAAACTCTCATTGGAAACCAAGGTTTTAAAGGTACGGAAAAAGAAGCACTACAGTCGTTTTCTAACGCACCTCCGATCCACCGGTTTTGAGGCACTCCCATGGACGGTCTTTGTATGTTGACAAATCTTGTGTTCACTCATGTTTCTAAAGCCAACTTTTCCAAAATTAGTCTGTCGTTAATACCTTATATCGCAGGTTTCTTCTTCAACCAAATTGATCAGTGTAGCTTCAACCCTGGTGTCAATGTCTATCGCCGTTTGTTCCAAATCCATAAGTCCCTGGCTCGTCATCGCATTCAGAAAATCCATGGTCGTATCATGATTGACATCGTTGCGATTTCCTTGGCTTATCATCGCCGTCGTCTTCGGCTTCACCACATATCCACACTGCCATCGCAGCGCATCACGATCGTGCTTGCCCATATGGACGAGCATCTTGTGCGCGCTCATCGTGTCAATTAGCTCCCAGCAGAGCTAGTATCAATCGATTAATATTCGATTTCAGGGCGAAAGAAAGGATATTCGAACCTACCTGGCATTGCCTAAGTCCAGGCCGCGTCTTTGCAACGGTACACTCGGCGGTCAGTCGATCTCCCTCTTTCACAACACGCTCATAGTGTAGGTTGTCTTCCGGTTCGATGTAACTCTAAATTTCTTAGGAATTCTCTGTACTTGGCTATCCTACCTGCGCCTGCACTTCGTCAGCCTCGGTCAGACCACAGATCCACTGGTCGTTTAGATTGGCGGGGTATCGTTCCTGTAAAACATTGGGTTGATTATACCTTATCATCTTAACACCGTGTCAACTCTCGAATAACTCACAATCATTGACATATCAAGCGCTTCCCGCAGATCTCTTGGATATTCTAAAGGCTCCGTGTCATCCAATTGAGGTCTCGAAGCATCGGTATCTTCGTTGCATTCATTTGTATGAACCTGAATTCTGGGCGGAGATTCCGGATTTCTATTCGCTGTCAGTAGGCCTAAACAACAACTTTTAATCATTTCCGAAAAAAGCAACCTGAAACCACGTTGCCAACCCTCCGCAGGAAATTGAATGCCATTTAGGCTGCTGACAGGGCGGAAAGACTAACAAACCGAAATTTTGTGTTGATGGTCAACGACTAATCAGGTAGATTGATGCCCCGGTTTCTATTAGTGCTTCAACTCCAAATGTAGCTGGAGGGTACAATGAACATCTGTACTTCCGCCAATGGATGGCGCTTGAAATCTGAAACGGCGCCCGTTATGTTATATCCAAAAAAAAACCCTATATAACCGTGTATTATCCTTCACCCCTTTGCTGAAAACTCAACAATTTATCCGTCAAAACAAAACGATGCGGTAACAAAGAGTAATCGAAACGAAACACGTATAACAACAACAACTATAACAAGTGACATAAGAAATCGGTACCATTTTGTTTTTACTTCTTTCCGCGAGCTGGAGTCCTGGCAGGCGTCGAAGTGGACGGTTGTTTCGGGGTCTTGGCTTGCTTGGGAGCCTTCGCCAGCTTCGGCGGCTTGGCGGCAGGTTCCTGGAAAAAAGTTCGATTCATAGCGCCAACTGCGATTATGTTCATAAAATGCCATTCTTTTTTGCAGCTAGAATCGATTATCTCGGCGAGTTAGTTAGTCTTCTGGCATCGTAAACGATTGAAAAACGCTCCCGTCCGAAGTTCAAAATGACATTTTATGAACATACGGTAAATTAGAATTTTCCCTTCAATAGTAGCAAATTGAACCCACCACTTGTTGCTGACGAGCGGCTCGTGCGGGCGTCATCCGAGCGCCGACGCGCCGTCCGATTGGCGTGTTGCTCTTCGGAGTCTTCGGCTTCGCCACGGCCGAGGGTTCCTGAAAGGCAGTGAAAAGCCGAAATTCCGAGTGATACCGGTGTCACGACGGTGACCTGCTTGGGCGATTTCTTTGACTTCTTGGCGCTGGGAGGGCGGGGCTCCTCTTCAGCGACAGGTTGGGCAACGATGGACGGGGTCTTGGGGCTCTAAAAATGGATAAGTGCTTTGAAATTAAGAAAAGCTGCGTCGTATAGATCACCAAACTTCAATGAAAAGTCTATAATGACCCACCTTTTTACTAATCGGAGTAGTTGCAATGTTGCTCTTGGCAGAAGCGGCCGCCTGGGGAGTTGCCAACTTGCTAGTTTTCGGGGTCTAAAAGCGTCTATCTCGCAAGAATCGCAATCATTTACATCTTTCGAAATTGGTGTGTTGGTGTCCGAAGCGGACTGCGTCTTCGCCTTCTTGGCACTAGGAGGCCCAACTTCGGCTCCAGCAGCTGGAGATTTCGGGGTCTAAACATTGCATAACTACCCACAACATTTGCTTACCGTTTTCGCCGGTGTCCGTTCAGCTGACTGAATCGTGATAACCTCCCAGTCCTTATCACTGGCTTTTGCCTAAGCAAAAATATTTCCACGTAAACCGAAAAAATACCGCTTGTCCGGGGGTGACTGGGGCGAAATGGTAGTCGACGCCGGAGGCCAAAAGCTTTCGCTCGCGCTGGTTGCGCATCTTCTTTCTCTTTTTCTAAAGAAAAGTAAAAACTAAAACCATGGGTCCTACAATAAGAGCAGCAGCTTGCTTCGGAGATCTGTGCTTCGCAGCGATGGCTGCCTCTTTCACCCGGCCGGCATAGCGTTCTCGCGGCTTGATGACGCACGGGCCACGCTTCATCACGTCGGGCACCATCTCTGGGGTCAAGACCTAAACAAAATAACCATTTTCCTCAAAAATCAAAAAGAACCTTGGCCTTCATGCGGCATTCGAACATCAGATATCCATCGGTGGCCTCTGCGGCAATCTGTGCAACGGTGGCATTGTCAAACGAGACGAAAGCCCATCCTTTGTGGTTGGTTGTCTAAATCCATTATTGCTGTAATATCTAATGTACCTTTTTGCTTCGTGCGACGCGGACGCGGATAACATTGCCAAACTGCTTGAAGTAATCTCTGATCTGATCTTCGAAAAAGCCGTATGGAACGCTGCTGACCTTCACCACATGTCCAACTAAAAAAATGCATATTAAAACTGTAACTTACTACAAAACAAATAAAATCAGAGTCATAATATACCTTTGCCTTTCTGCCCTGGCGCTCCCAACGCCTTGCCAATGTCGCCCTGCGATCTCTTCTTCTTTTTGGGTACAACGTGTCTTGTTGGCTCTACAGGCGGGACCTCTGGTGCTGTCGTCATCTGCAATACCATAAATTACTTATTAATTGCTGTTAAAGTGCAGAAAAACAATTATTTGAGAAGCGCGCGTCTTTCAATAAATAAATCAAGAGAAGCCGGCAAAACCGAAGTGACACAGTGTAAATGGACATTGCCGATCGTACTACTTGGCGCGAGCACCGTCGTTTCAAAAAAGTAAAACGCTTGCAAGATTGAAATAAACTAAAGATAGGTTAGAATAGAAATATGGAAAAGAACTGGTACGTAACTACGACGCAGGCGATGCATGCGTCAATGTCAAGTACGTCAGGTCTCGCGAAAGCCCAAAATATCATTGACACCCAAAACGCAACGATACAAGGCGCTCAGCAAGCGAGTTTTTCAACCCAGAGTTGTACATCGTAACAAACATTTATCAACAATATTACATCTTTTTAAAGGATTTGCTTATTCCAGCCGCCGCCGCTTTGAAGCCTTGTGGCTTCGCTCATATTTCGATGGTCTAAAAAGGTTTTAGTGAGAAGCCAATAGCTCACTTTTCTGTGCCTGATCCCGAGCTTGATCGGCTCCGAGATCGACGTCTTTTTGCTTTCGATCGTGAACTGGATCTGCGCCTGTAAAAATTAATTTTTATTCCAAAACACGGCCTTTATTCACATTAGAAAGGAAGTTTGTATCCCCCGCTGGAAATAGTACAGAACGGGAGCTACTAATCTTACCGTCGTTCCCTTCGTTCGCGACTTCGTTCTCTACTGCGCACCCTAGTTCGATCCCGGCTTCGATCTCTCTTGCGGCGATCACGACTCTTACTCCTGTCCTTGGAGCGTTTTCTGCGATCTTTCCGGTCGCGCTGAAAAAAAATATTACGAACGGTTATGGAACCTTATAACAACAAATCCGAATAGTTCCCCGACAGACCTCTTCTTTAAAAGCCGAAGGTAACACAGATTTCCCGACTTCGACTTTCGAAACCTCGCTTTCTTTTTCTAGTGCGGCCTGTTGAGCTAGTTGTTGTTTATCTCGAAGTATCCGCTCCATGAACTGGCGTGCCTAGATTGAAAAGGTCGGCTAACATATCTAATCCTACCTTTTCTTTTCTTTCCAGTTGAAGATCCGTTTGAATACGCGGAGGTGCGGGTGGTGTCGGGACCGCAGTCTATAAGCGCAGAAGCACCACGTTCAAGCTAAATGTGTTTTACGTTAAACGATCCAGGCGCCTCATCATCGAGTGCGGCCACGGCAGATGGATGTGCTGTTCTAAACTTGCAAATTCTAAATGAGGTTCCTGATTTCAACCTGCCTTTGTCTCATGATTACTCACTTCATAATTCCGTCGATTACAAAATGAAAATCGCACCTTCTATCCCATTATATAGGGTGCCGCCACTTCCGGCGATCTAATTTTTCCTAACAAGGGTCCCCGATTTTTTTAACAAACCTAATTTAATGTCGAATAGCAATTTTGGACTGATAGCGTGCGTTTCCCAGACCATTACGCACCTAATGACGTATCATCCGTACCCTAAACTCCCCTTCGAGATATCCTCCGACACCCTGACGGAGTTGCATGCATGCACCCCACAAACACTTTTTATGGTAGAAGCGCCTACAATTCAGTAGTGGAGGCAGGAATCTGAAAGCAGACCGACGATTGGACCGGGTGGATCGACTAAAATACCAATATATCGATCAATCTAATAAGGAAAATACCTGCGAGGTACACGGATCAATGAGGGAAACGGGAGCAACCATGTCAGTTTTAGGCGCATCCTGAAATGGTGGTTTACATTCATGCCTAGACACACCTGGAGCCGCCTTCGTTGTTTTCGATTTAGAGGAGGGGAGGGCGCATCCGCTTGGATAGCACCGGCCAGCGATTGATCCTGAAAAAATAAATCGGCCCGTGAAAAGTACCCCTACCTCATGAACAAAACCGGGCGGAAGTTCCACGGTCATTAATGGTGCGGGAGGATAATACCCAAGCGCCAATTGATTGGCTTTCACCTAAATGGGAACATGTTAACGATAATAAAACTAAAAGCTACCTGCTGCTGATAAAATGAATGATAGGGCGAGTGCAAGTTGAGGAAATTAAGGTTAAACGTGTATTTGCCTTGTGCCCCGTCGAGCACGTGTTGTTCTAAAACCAAATATCGTATCAGCAAACGATGGTTGAGAGCAACAACCTCTGAGCATCCTTTCTCCTTCGGCTCCATATTTGGCCGAATACTCGGCACAATGCTCGATCACCTCCAGTTGATCGGCCGGCGGTTCCTTGATCGGAGCTGGCTTTGATATCGGGCAGGGTGCTTCGTAGAAGAAGCTCCACCTAAATGAGTTTCGATCAATTGCCAAGGGTCAGCAAAAAAACCATTTTTGAAACTCCAAATCCGGCCCAGCATTCGGGATCGGCTGGCCCTTATCATCCTCTTCCGTTGCGCTTTTCACTTTCAATTCAACGAGGTTCCGGAAGAGGGAGGTGTACTGAAAAAAAGTATTATCGACGGGAAAGTCCGCTCACATGAGTATCAGTGCTCTTCAGATTCTTCAGCAAATCGTTGCGGCTTCTGCAAAAAGTAAAGCTTGGAGAAAACTCTATCAAATTACTTTTGTGCGCTGTCTGGCGGTGGTTGTTGTACGGGGGCTGCTGGGGCCGAGTTCATAGAAAGAAGAGGGTGCAATTCATAGTCAGAATCCGAATCATCATCTGAAATGCTAAATTGGCAATGAGCGTCTAATGTTTGTACCATATTCCAAACCCAACGCATGGGTAGAGCTCGAAGCCTTCGCGGATTCGGAAGCCGTATGGACCGTCGTCGGATTTTCCCCAAACTTTCTCCTCATCCTCTTCTCACGATCGAAATCGGGCACTTTGTACTTCTTATCTCGTATCATCTTCATCATATACTTATAGTAGGGATGCAGCTGATTGTCGAATTGGAGAAAGCCAAACTAAAATTGTGCATACAGGATTCAAAAGAAAAACCGACGTGTTCATCGTTGCCCCGCTGCTTCGCCTTGATGACGATCTCCATCTGTGCACCTTTCTCCACGACAAACCCGGCCGTTCGCAGGATTATGTGGTTTTGCTTCTGGTTGGGTGGCTAGAAATAACGATATCACTGCGAGCAATCAAAAACATACGCAAACAAGTCCCATTGGAAGCTTGATCCCTGTCGGAGGATCAAAAGCTTCAGCTTCGCTATCGCTGTCCGGGTCATCAATTTTGTCAAAAGCACCCTCCAACGGTTCGTCATACGAAAATCCGATTTCGGCCTTCTTTGGCTTCGGCGCCTCCTCGTCAAAAATGGCTTTTTCTAAAGAGTAAAAAAACAACAAAAAGAGGATTTACCTGGCTTGCAGCTCAAGTCCATATATCGGTCAACATCACACATTTCCTCCTCCAGAGCTTCCGAAGAACACTTTTCAAAACTTGAATCAATATCGACCCGCACATCAGTAATAGAATTGAAGAATAACCGTACATCATAGCTGAAAAGTAGAGATTTGGTATGAAGGAAACCATTGTGAGCGCGATTTGACACCTAAGATCTTCTTAAAAACGCACCGATCTATCGTGATGTCTGTATCCAGCCAATTTCGAAGGTGCTTCTCGTCGGCGATCTTTCGTGCTGCGTCATCTGGACGGAAAATTGAAGAACTGTAGCCGACGATTTTTAGCCCATCCTCTTCCTCCTCCATTCTGAAAAAATGACCATTATAAAAAGTAAGGACAGAGTAGCTAAACAAGCCGGAATGGCAAAACAAGCTTCGAAAGGCAGTAAAAGCTAAAAATAGCCCACATACCCATGGAGTTCAATTGCTAATTTGCATAATAGTCATTAAGAAGCTCGGTATTACATTTCAAGCGCGCTTCAACCAGTCGCCATTCGATCAAAAAGTCTCATCAGAAGCCCGTCCGCGCTAGCCCGGTGAACCGATGACAAAATTTGTCACCGTTCGCGCTGGTCACCAGGTCGAGGGCTCCGTTGACAGGTAAATGGCATTCGCCTACAAGCAAGTTTTCAGTCTCTACTGGCTAATCATCTCTCTCGGCCTCGGTATCGTCATCAATGTTGGATATGTGATTGTCAATCAGGTTTGGGTGAAGCAAAAGATGCTTCAACTGAAAAATTACAGAAAATGGCTCGCCAAAGGGAGATCCGGGCGCGCCGACAGGTCGAAAAGAATGAGATGGAGCAGGACGCTGTCGTCGAAGTGTGGTACCTTGAGGACCAATATAAGCGCCAGGCGCGCGAGCGTTTCCAGAAGGCCCGCAAAAAGATGGAGAAGTGAGGGGCTGCGAACTTGGCCTCTAATTGTTTTAGGATCGAGAAGGAAAAGAAGCGAGACGGATGGATCGGGCAAACCGTAAACTCGCAGCGTTTTCAAACGAATGGCATTTAGAAAGAGGATACCCCGCATGCAACTACGCCCCCGCGTGAAGCCACTACCGCCAAGATCAGCGTACAGCCAGCGACCGCCGAGCCGGCTACGGAGCCACCACCAGCTAAGGCCGTCGACGCTGCTTCAGGTATGCGGTTATTCTTAGAAATAACCAGCGCTAAAACGTTCCTCTAGCCAATGTTGGGACGGACAAGAAGAAAACATCCGGCAAGACTGGGAAGAAATCGGGCAGCAATAACGCATCGAATCCCAAGGAGTGTAGGGCGCGTTTGAAAGCACAAAACATTATTTGTTGCAGCCACGGCTAAGAAGGACCCGTCCACCAATGGTGATGGTCCGTCATCCTTGCTTTTCTGACTCTCATTTCTAGCGACCAACAAATTGACGCAGAAGACACAGAAGCAGCCGTCGATGGGCACACAGAAGACGCACTTGATGACCGGTACGACCATGAATACGCAGCAATCGATGAAGCCCGGATCTGGATCTCGGCCCAAGAAGTAAGTCGTGAACTGTCTGAGCCCCATAACACGCCTATACTTCAGAGAGAAGGGCACCGTGGAGGATCAGACGCAAAACCACGACCAGGACCAATCCCAGTAAAAATGAATGCCATGCCCGATTTCGCTTTTTTGGAAGAATAAATTTGCTGCTGGCTGCTTGCACGGACATCACATTGCGCTTCGAAAGTCTCGTGAAATAAGCTTCCACGAATAAACGTGTTGCTAATTAGTAGAGCAAGATAAGCGTCTACGATGGCACTCAATCTATTTATCCGTAGACGAAATGTTACTAGGCCGATTCAAAAAAATGGTAATGAAGAAAATTCACAGTTTCGCAAAGGCAAAATTATCGCGTTGTTATCAGTGTTTCTGGACGTAGCTGCTGGTCCAAATAGTCCCAGTTATGAACCATCAATTGTTGGACGGCGATCAGCGCATGGTAGCGGACGTTGGGATCTTCGGCCGATAAAAGCTTCATCACCGCAGTTTTGCCATGATTTTGCTCGACAAAACTAAAGAGACCGTTGCAAAAAGCTAGAAATTGTGTTACTTCTTTCCGCGAGGGTAATGCCGCACATATTCACCGAGGTCATGAGCCGCCACGCAAAGCACAAGCGGATCAGAAGCTGTTTCCAGCAGTTGTACCAGCGCCCTAAAGCCCATTAATGGCGTTTGAGAAAATAGGGCATACTTCACGATATCCCATCGCTTATCGTGAAATCTCTCCGCATTCTCGCGCCAGAACTTTTCCGATTTGTGCACAGGAGACCAGTAAAGTTGCCCGGATTTTACCTAAAAAGCCGATTAGCTGAGGTCGACCAATTACCTCGCGAAAATATTCATCAAAAGAGCTCAAATCTTGGACGGAGTGGTGCAGCGAGGCGTTCAAATAATCCACATCATCCCGTAGATCGGGATCCTCGAACTTTCTGGCCGCGAGAAGCTCCATGGTTTTGAGGGCCTTGCATTGCACCATTTGTAGAGCCACCTCTCGGACGGCCTGGCACTGCCCGTTCTCGCCGGCCTTCTCCAGGATGTTACGAAAAGTCGCCACGATAACTCGGATCACCTAAATGGCATATATGATTTTAGCTACCAATAAATTATACCTTTTCTTTTGTCGCTTCATTCAAAATGCCGGCGAGTGTCTGGATGACGCCAAGGGATCGGGCCTTGCGAGCGATTTCGGCGTTGAAGGTCAGACACCATATGGCACACACGAGCTGGTATTGGAGCTAAACAAAATATCCGGAAAACCAAACAAAAGTTACTTGAAAATTGATCTTCCCGTTGAATGAAGACATAATAGCTTCAAGGCCTCCCCGCTGCACGAAGGCGAGCCGGTAGTCGTCGACACGCAACAACATTTGCAAGGCACGAAGGGTGCTGTTTGTGTTCTCACTTTGCTAAAATGATAATGATAATATATCTTGTCACAGAAATCAAACCAGTTCACTTTGGAGCCCATGTCGCAGGAAGGACACGTAAAACCCAGGATCGGGGCTGACCATTCGAGGCAGAGGGCTTGGTATTTTTTTTTTTTTTTTTTTTTTTTTTTTTTTTTTCTTTTTTTTCTTTTTTTTTTTTTTTTTTATTTTTTTTTTTTTTTTTTCTTTTCCCTTTTTTATTTTTTTTTTTTTAAATTTTTTAAAAAAAACGAGGGATTGCTAAATCTTGAAATTATGTGGTCTCGAAGCTACAAAAATAAATAAAACGGCCGAAATCAGTTCGCAAAAACTAAAGAATGTTCAAAATCGCTGTGCGAGCATAAAATTCCGGCAAGATACTAATTCCAAGTCATAGGTCAACTTTTAGACACCGGCCACAACCGTATCCGGTCGTTGCAGGACTTTAGCATTTCCGATGGGGCGTTTTCAAACCGTCCCACCCGAACCTTTCCTTTTTCGTACCGCGTTCTTTCCTGAATTCCATTATCACAATTTTGGTTTTACCTTTACTTTTCTCTTCTTACTTTCCCTCATTTTTCCAAACTTGCTGTGTTACGATGATTAATTCCATTTTTCCGCTTTCAGGTAGCTTCATCATCACCATGGCCGAGCAGAACGAGTACCTCATCGCCGTCGGCAAGGGCGCCATCGCGGACCTGTGGGCCCATCACGACAAGCCGGACGCCTTCAACCCATCCAAGTTCTCCGAGTCGGACATCAAGGTCTTCACCCGCAAAAGCGAGGACGCCGCTTGCCCCGAGGATATCGTCAAGGCATCATTTGTTCTTGAGGTAATTTACCGCGTTTGTTTAAATAATTTTTGTTCTAGGGTACTTCCACCAACCACGTGCTCGCACTCGTTCTGCCCTGGATGTCCTATCGTCTCGAGTGGGACGATTTGTTGTCGGTGCGTTTATTTTGAAACTGACACAATGTTTCTCCGACATTTTGCATTTACGTTTTTCAGGGCGCCGAAGTGGTCCAAGAGCTGACGCCTTCGATGAAGGTCGTCCACCACCTTACCCGAAAGAGGATGCCTCTCAGCGCCCGTGATTCAATCGACGTCGTCGCCATTGATGCTCGCTCCGATACCGTCATCGCCGCCGCACGCTCCGTGAACTTGGACAGTGTCCCCGAGGTGAAGGACCACGTGCGCACCAGCCAACATCTCGGCGGCTACGTCATCAAGGATTTAGGCGAGGGTCAGTTTTCCACGGGTTCTGCGCTATTTCGTAAAATAGAGGGCCCACTTTGATTGTCCCAGTTTTTTTACGGGCTTATCGTTTTTCGGAACGGACGCTCAAAATTACCCCAGCGATAGTGGTGTTACAACAATCAAAGTGGGTCCCCTATTCCGAAATCGGGCCATTTATTCGCTTAACTTTTTCAAACTTTTTATCGTGTTGTTTTTAGGGAAAATCCAATTCGAGATGTACTTCCACGGTGACCTGAAGATCGGAGGGATCTCGCTCGTCAAAAGCCTAATCGAAACGATCAAGCCGAAAATCATGGTGGATTTGGCGAAGAATCTGCGCAAGTCTATCAAGAAGGTGCCCGTGCTGCCGGCCGATATGGAGTCTACCCTCATCTACACTGACCTGGTTGTTGAAGCTAATTGATTGTGATCTGTGTATCAAATTTTCTGTGATTGCCGCTTCCACTTTTGCACGTTTTCAATAAATGCATGTCCACAGTTTCGGCATTGGCTCGCGCTGACGATGACTATGCCCAAGAAGATTTATGCAGGGGATCGGAATACATTGGGAACACGAAAGACTGGGCGAAAGGGCTGGGAGGATGCATGGGTTCATCCTTCGGCGAGATATGCATGCAGCTAGTCGGGTGGCTGCCATTCTTCCGTGTTTTAGGCCTTTGGGGTGGTAGGTGCAACGGCAGACGGAGGCTGATCGAAGGCATACTTCATGGGCGGTGGCACAGGGTGTTGCGCCCTAAATTAGTAGCTATAGTCGCGAAATCCTCAGAAATAGTTTAGCTTTCCTTCAGAGACCTTACCCGCTAGAGTTGGTGGAAGGGATGACAATGGCCGTCTTCGGAGGCGAGGAAGTCTTTTGACGGGTGGAAAACTCGGCTAAATTAAAGGATGATTACGTTTGAAAGCTCGAAGTCAGTACCTAGCGGTGCGGAAACGGACTGAGCCGTCTTGCAGCTGGAATCAGGGCCGGCTGACTTGCGGCAACTTTCCGAATTATCCTTGGCAGGCTCGGCGGTCTCTTTCTGAATTTGGATATTTGCGAGCTGGTTAGGGACAAACCTTGGCGTTTCCAGAGCTGAGGGAATTGTTGCCGTAAGCGACGAGCTTGCCGAGAAGCCCACGCTTGGCTTCACACTGCTTCTGCGGGCCGCCACATTCGATATCATACTTGTGCAGCGACACGCCGATGTTGTTCGTGACGTAGCCTAAGATATTAGTTCAGGAAAGTTCTGGTGACTTACATTTGTTTTTCTCGGCTGCCTTGATCTCCGTGTAGAGGGTAACGACCAGGCACAAGTTGGTCACCTAATTTAATGCGATTTATTTTAGTTATGTATGGGCCGTCCTACCAGCAGGAGGCATGATTCAGCGGAGACAAGGACACTATTGCGCAGCATCTCCAGACTTTGCGACCCGGAATAGCCCGGCTCCTTGTTGGCCGCCTCCTTGATGGCGACGTAGAGGAACGAGGTGAGCACGCAGCCCAGGTCGGTGGCCATAGTGAACATGCAGAGCTCTATAATTTGCGATTAGTATATGTGCTACGGCTACGCTTGGTGGAATAGACGATAATCTCCACGGTGAGCGAGATGACAATGAGGTGCAGCATGCTGACGAGCTGAAAATATTAGAATCTTCACATCATCCGTATCGTACCAAGCCGGTGGACACGGGCAGGTTTTCTCGACCATGATGAACCCGATGAAAACGTAGCAGACGAAGAACGCCTGGACGAGGCACAGCAGCGAGACGGCCACCTTGACGCAGATAATGTAGGCGTGCGTCGCTTCATCGATTTCCTCCACGGCTGCCGTGGAGTATGTACCAACCGTCGAGCGGTTCTTTTTCGACTTGGTCGAGCGTTTCTGAAAGCTATTCTTCCTTTCTTGGTTGAGCTGATACCTTGGAGCGGCGGCTCTTCGACTTGCGCGCCGAGCGCTTCGACGGCTTGGAGCGGTGCTTGATGCGGCCGACGCTGTTGAACAGATCCTTGCGCGCGTCCCGAGACTACACGAGAAGCTGTGTGTCGTTAAACAATGAAAATACCGGCTTCTTGTGTGACTTCCTCTTGCTGGCATCGCTTTTGGTGGCCTTGCGGGAGGCAGACTGGCTGCGCAGCGAGCTGTTCGCCGAGTTCGCGCCCGGTGCCGAGGCCGTCGAGCGACTGTCTTGCGAAGTAGCCTGAACAGTAGATTTTCAGAAAGCTGTGTAAGGCAGTGAATTTGGAACGTACCGGCATGTTGTAGGCAGTAGATGGAGAATGGATTATCGGGTACGAGGTGCGGGGGGAATTGCGATTTTATTATATCAAAGGTATGCTAATGAGAGTGTATCTACATGCTATCAAAATTATGCTACTTATATATGTATAAAGCCATATGCTGCCGTTACATATTCTGAGCATGAATTGTAATGAGGTGGAAGCCGCTTTTTTTCTTTTGGCGTCTGGGCCTCGAGGACGCTCAGATTATTCGTTCTTTCGGATTATCGGGGACTGATTTTATTTGTATAAGTGCATAAATATGGAACGTTACAACAAATGTGAAATTGCTTTTGGTAAAATTTATCAATAGTTCAAGAGGAAAAACTGTCTGAAAACTTGTACATTTAAAAATGTGGACCTTGGATTAAAAAAAAGCGATTTATGGACGAAAAACGTTCTTTTTTTTGTAATGATTTGAAGAAGTAGTAATTTTAGAACAAAAAGGGCTTCACTTAAGTGAGTACTTATTAGTCATATTAGCAAAATGGGATCCTAAAGGAAAAAATTGATGCGCCCGATAATCACCCCCTCCCGGATAATGCGAAAGCACCAGATTTTAATGAAGGGTTTTTAACGATATATCGGTGCGGATGCTGGTCCGTTATTTTTTTGCCTTAACCTCATTTCTAGAAGAGACCGGAAGCTGTGGAAGTGGCACTTTCCGTTTGCGGGGGGGGGGGGGGGGGGTGGGGGGGGGGGTTGGGGGGGGGGGGGGGGGTCCCTTCTTGTCCTGTGGGGGAAAGAATGGTATTCTGCTTTTTGCGTACCCTTTTGCCAAGCATAATATCTTTATTGAGCAAATGCGACAATGGAAGTTCTCCGGCGACAGACGGTTAGACAATTGTTATGTAGAAAGACAGCTACTGTGAGAAAGCCCTCTTGCGGTCAACCCATATTTTGCATGAAATAGTCGATAATAATAAATACGAATAAATAGGGGGGAGGAAGTGGGATTGTAGGGGGAAAGGGTAATATAAATGGTAGCAGATTTACGGGGGACGGATTGGCTCTGGAATTAGGAATCGGCTAAGCGGCACTGAAAAAAATTGGTGTAAGAAAATCCGTTAGCGTTGTCGAATCCTCCCGGAAGCATTAGCCTGAAAGACGCTTTTTGTAAGGGGGAAAGCCTCGACTTCTTGCCAATAAAAAAATTCTAGGAAAAGCTCACGTCACAACAGCAGGGCCGGGGGCTAAAAGCGAGGTATTGGGGGAGAGCAATTGCGTGGGGTTATTTTAGGGGACACACAAAAACACGCACATCAATTCGCGGGGAGTGAGAACATTTTTGCAAACTTGTTAGGGCTTTGAGGGGGGCTTCTCGCTGATTGGTGCTTTTGACTGCGGGAAAAAAGGTACTTTTGCATTATCGAGGGGGCAGCATTTTGATGGTGTCTTTCATACAATTTACAGATAGAATTTTGGGTCAAAATTATCTTCAGACGTTCGAAAAGTTTTGAAAATTTCAATATTCTCTGGAAAAATCTATTTTTTTTTGATTATTTTGGTGCTTCGAAACCGAAAATATGGCGATTTGTTACGTTTATGACTAGCAACAAACTTCGATTTCCGTTATTTATATCAAGAAAGTTGTAATTTACGAAAAGTTTAGCCCCCCGTTATTGCAAAAGCGCCTAAACAAAATTGAACAGCACTCGCACGCGAAAAACACGAAAAAGGGCAAGATTTCTGGTGGGGAGTGGATGGGTTTGGCTGGGCTCTTCGGTGTTTTCCGATTTTTTTTGATACAGCCGCCCAGCCAACCAAAAAAGTGGCGGAACGACGAATTCTCAGCAGACGTGCGACGACTGCATCATCATCAACACGCCAACAATTCCACACACACGGTGCGTGCGACGTCAAGAAGACGACGAAGAAGAAGAGGAGGTGCAGAGAGGTCTCAGAGCATCAAGATACCGAGGAATCCGATGGCGGACATGATCGACTTCCAGATCCCACCCGATTTGCCCTTGTCCCCCTTGCGGGGACATCCGTTGAGGTACATATGACACGGGAGGCCTGGGTCTGAAAACAACGTTTTCAAGAACCTAGGTGGTGCTCAAACCTTCTTCTTCCTCCTCATCCTCATCTCCATCTCCTTGTCCGTTAGTGTGTCCATGTATGGCCACCCAGTCCGTCTCCATCGCCACGCCCTCGTCGGTGTAACCGCGTACTTTGGCCAGGTACTTGGTGTTGGCGCGCAGCATTCCGTTGCAGTACTAAAATGCTTGGATTTTATTTTATAGGGTTTCTAATTGCTTCTGTAACGTTGTCAGATCAACACCCACCGGTTCATCAAGGCGCTGCTGCTCACAGTCGTCCTCTCCGATGATAAACATGGCCTCTTTGACACCACGCTTTGAGAACGGCTGATAGTCGGAACGGCTGGCCCGGTAGGAGGGCCACTTGTCGTCGTTGTGCACCTCGAACCACGAGCGCAACTCGTAATCGTCACCGCCAAGCTAAAATTGGGTTTATGGGGATAGTAACTGGCTTACCGGGGATCTTTTCCATTATCGGGGGGGGAGATGACTGGACTGGACTATACAATTTTAAGCAAAAAATACAGATATAGCAATTTTTCGACCGAATTCTCAAAATTTCAGAGCCATTTCCACGTTTTCTCGATGATCTGCATTTGCAAAATGCCCAATTTTATTAGAAACACTGCAAAATTGATGGAGAAAGTACGGTACCCGCCCCGCCCCCGATAATGCCAAAGTACCATGTGCCGAAATTCCGAGCACGAATTTCATGGTAAAACCTCGGTAATTTTCCTCCCAACCTCAATATCCTCCGCCACAATCACTGCAAAGTTGTTGAAGGGCCCATTGAGCTCGTGCCACATATTGTGATCGTTTTCGAAGATCAGCGCCAACTCGCGAGTCCCATGCCGTTTCAGGGCCGGCTTCGAGCGGACGTCTTTCCCGAAAGCCACCGTCACCATTTCGCTTTCACTTTCCGCTTCCGCTTCGCCAATCTAAGCACTTGTTTGCAATTTTGCTTCCTTTAGAAAAACGCCTGGACGTCCAGCCATTTCCCCTCTACTCACCCCCATAATGACGGTAATTGTGAAGGTGTAGTACGTCTCCAGGTCGAGCTCATCAAATCGATAGTGGTTGGTGTTCTTCAGCTGAACGGTCCGCTCCTTTCTGGCACCATCGTTCGACGTTGCGATGTAGCTTAACGTAAAGTTGAGCTTCGTTTGGGATCAAATACGTATTTCATGTATTTTGTTATGTGCTTTCGCTTTATCGTCAGAGGGACCAACTTTTTCGACAGGTTCAGAAATGCCTAATATCTGCTAGCATACGTATTTTAATAAAATTTAACTATATATCGAGGGCAAGGATCAAAAACCTTTGGAAAATCCGAAAAAATGATCGAAAAACGGTATTTTTCGTATTTTTGATTCTTTTATTCGTATTTTTCATTTCTCTCGGTATTCTCCATTTCATACGGTATTGATTCGTATTATCGTACTCGCGTTTGAGTTTTTACGTTTAGGAATAGTAAAAACAGCTAAGAACAGCATTTATACTAGCAAAAATGGATACTAAAGTAAAGTCCGACCCCCCCCCCGCTAACACACCAGTACCGCTGAATGTTTTTTGTTGAATAGCTAGAAATCTCCTACCTCAGCCGGAAGCGCACGTCGTTATCGGCAAAATTTTCAATGTCCCAGTGTAGCGAGGCGTAGTCCCTCCCGACGATTGGGCGCAATTTTTCGACTTTTAGCGGGTCTAGAAAATTAAATAAAGTATAATAATATATAAATACAAAAGAATAGAAAATGCATAATTTAAAAAAAAGTAAATTCTTAAAAGACAGGCGATTCTTTTGGAAAAAGCCGAATGAACGTACAGGTCGTAATTTCGGCGACAACCGGCCGGCTGCGCATCGATTTGTAGACGGTGAAGAGGGAGAACTTGTACGTCTTGCCGGGGATTAACTTGGTGAAGGTGAACGAGCGGCTAAAATGATTAGCTAGTCCTAGAACCGTTTTTGCTTACTCCTTGTCCATGGCAATTTTCCGGGTGATGTTCTTGTTGTTGCCGGTGAAGTCGAGCTCGTAGTGCTCGAATTTTCCCTAAAAGATGGAGGAGTTGAGAAGGCAATTTTAAGATTTTAGGTTGTACCTGTTCCGGGTCCGATTCGCCGAAATTGATGTTGATGGAGGTGGACGAGATTTGGCCGGGATATAGCGTGGATGAGATGATTGGTCCTGGAATTTTATTTGCTGTTTATTAATAACTAAACTGAAATTTTGGTCTGGCTTTGGGTTTTTTTTCCCCTATGTCTTTATCTTATGTTTTTCGTAGTTTTCTGGGAAATATTCAGAAAAAATATTTAAAAAGCTTTAAATAAAGCGAATTTTACTTATTTTGGTGTTTTTTCATACATTCACCAAAAATACTTTTGAAAATTTTAGGATTTTTAGGTGATTGGTTAATCTAAAAACGTTTTAAAATTCTATAAAACACTTTACGTACGGGATTACTGGGAGAAATTTGGTTTCCCCGTCAGTACAGAACCTATATTTAATTTTTGAATCTAACTTCATCGTGTTGCCGTTAATGCGCAACTTACTCGTCTGCTGCTTGATGATGGCGTCTTGGCTGTTGATGCCCAACTCGCGGCTGATGTTGCGCACCGTGATGATGTACTCTTCAGTTGGCTCGAGCTTGTCCAACACGACCTTCCCCTTTTCGGTGACTTCGAGCTTTTTAGGAGGAGCCTAAACTTTGATGCTCAAGGAATTTTTGGGGCTTAATTCAGCTCTTATCTTTATACAATCCAAGCCCACCTTTCCAACGCCATACAGCACGACGATATCGTTGTGTTTGAAATCGTGGAAGACGGGCCAGTCCCATTCGAGCTCGATTTTGGCCACGTAGAAGTCGTCGGTTTCGACGTTTACAACGCGTAGACCGTGGATGGCTTGCGGTTCTGAAAACGGGAAATTAATAGAGAAAATATATAGGGAAAACAGTTGCTTAAACGGATATAATTACTTACTGCTGAGGTCGATGATACGGTGGGCCCACCAGGTCTTGGAAAGCGCACCCGATAGCATGCAGAAGACTTTAGCCTGAAAAAATATCATGGACTTGAACCTAAAATTAGGTTGAAAAAATTTGTAAAATTTAAATCAACAGTATGACCTCCAGCTTATGGTCGGTGAACATTTTGATGAGTACGAAGCTGTCCTGCGAGGCGACAGAGAAGGCTTTTGGTTGGGACAGCGTCAAGACGGTGTAGTTGACAAGGAAAGCGTCACATACTGACTCCTCGGCCACTTCCCATTCGATTCTGGAAGGCAGTGAGATCTTAGGAAGGGAGAGAGAGAGAGAGAGGCGAGAGCGACAGCGAAAGAGAGTGGAGAGGCTAGTCAGAGAGCGTGAGCGAGTGTGATAGAGCGCGAGTGAGAGAAAGAGAGCGAGAGAGCTAGTCAGAGAGCGTGAGCGTGAGAGAGAGGGAGCGAGAGAAAGTGGGAGAGTGAGATAGAGAGCGAGAGAGAGAGATTGAGAGAGAGCGAGTGAGTGGGTTCGAGTTCGAGGTCCAGTCCACGAGAGAGCGCGAGAGCGAGCGCGGAAGAGAGCGAGCCAGAAAGCGAGAGAAAGACTTACTTGAGCATCTTTCCCTCCTTCGAGATCCAAATATCCGACGGATCGCCATAACCATCCGGGTTGGTGCTAGGCTGACCAGCTTCTTCCGCAATCACCCCTGGCACTGGGGCTGAAACCTCGGAGCCATAGTCGACCACTTCCGTTTCGATGGCCTCTGTCGTTTTTGGGCCATTGCTCGGGTTGATCTCCTAGAGTTTGGATTGTTATAGTGCTAAACTTTGGTCAAAAAGTGTCAAAATCTTAATTTTCTACAGCATATGTGGCCAATTTAAAGGGGTTGGCAAGGCAAGGCGATTTAGCGATTTATCGTGATGCGGAAGGCGGCGTCGGCGAAGTCCATAGAAAACCATCACTAATAAATTCCTGATCATGCCTTGCCTGTCCCTTTAAAACACCACAGAAAAAACCGTGTGAAACACTCGCACCTCTCTGCTGATGATGGGTGCTGTGGTGGATGGTGTGGTAGTGGTGGTGGTGGTGGTGGCTGACGTCGTGGTTGTCGTCGTTGATGATCTTCTCGTCACTTTCATATCACTCTTTTTGGTGGTTGACTACAAAAATAGTTATTGTGGGCAAGATCTGGTTTGGGAATCTTTCGGTTCTTGACTGTTAGCGGGGGTGGGGGATTTTTGCAGGGGGAAAACCACTTTTTTTTTTCGACCTTGCTAGAAAAAGAAAAACGTAAAAAATATTTTTTTAAACGTCGAAAATTCTTGAATCGAAAAATATAAAATTTTTACCTTTTTTGACCATTTTTGAGCGAAAAGTTAAAAACCGTCAAAAATTTTTCTTATTGTTTTATTAGTTTTCTTCTATTGTTGTTATATCGAAAAACTATGTAAAATGCTATAAAAATCGTCGATGTTTTCTTATAGGGCCCTAGAGAATAGCAGGGAAAATTTCGTTCCCCTAGAATACAGTCCAGGACCAATATTTCTATAGCAAAAGATCTACACAATCTCGGGAACGCGTCAAACCTGAAGACGTACTTGGGGTGTGGTGGTGAACATTGTGGTGGTGGTGGTGTGGGGGTGAAATATCATGGGTTCAGTGCTGCTGCCATTCTCCAATTCTCCATCCGGGACGTCGACGTCTCGATCCGACTCATCATCTACTTCGAGTTCTTCTTCAGCCGTCGTCGGGAGAATTGTGGTGGATTCAGACGGGGTCTGCGAAGTGGAGACCTTGTCGGTGACGGTGATGACAATGCGCGGGACTGGTGGTGCTTCGGTCACCTCATCTACCGGCGTCACGCCCTCGGGCTGGTAGTAGTATTGGTCCCCATCCGGTGTGACGTCCGTCTGAATTACACTCGGTGGTTAGTGGTTTTTTTGGGTATTTTACTATCCAAAATTTGTCGAAAATTTTTTAAAGCTTGAAAGTTAAAGTGTTTGAAAGTTGGGTTTAAAAGTTTCATCAAAGGTTAAAACTATAAACGCATTAATATCAGCTTCATCACGTCAATGAATATCACCTTATTAGGCTAGAAAGAACACAAAATTAATTCCGCTGCGAATTTTAGGATTTTTAGCCTATAAACCGAACAAAAACATGTTGGAGCAGTTCAGCTGCAACAGGCCAAATGC